GGGGGAGGGGGGGGCTTTTGGGCAGGACAGGGGCTGGGAGATGGAGGGTTTGGGAAGAGTTTTGCTATTAGAGAAAAATGCTCTGTGGAACGATGCCCTTGTACAAACCATCTTCCCCCATCTTTGCCTGCCGTGACAGAATAAACCACCCATTGTGTGGGAGAACGGGGCTTCCAGCAAGGTGGGCTTTGGGCTGTGATTGCCAGCCTCCTCGGGGGCAGGAGAAGGTAAGTGAGAGCCCGCTGAGGCCAGTCGCTGAAAAAGGGATTTTTGGTGGTCTGAAAAAGAGGAGAGGACGGGTACAAACATGCAGAGTTTGGCAGAAAAGGAGATTTTTTTTCATTAAGTAAAAACTATTTCTGGCTGCAGGGAGACTTCACACAACCTTCAGCAATTAGGGGCCGGGTATTATGTTGGGAAGATCAGGCAGGGGGCTGGTGTGCACAGCTGCAATGGTGTGCTGCGGTGAGGGGCTGCTGAGGAGTAGCTGCTGGTGGCTTTGTAGGTGTTGGAGTACCCGATCCGACGTGGAAGCGCTCCTTGAGGAGCCCGCACTATTTCAGGGTCACTCTCTGCAATTCTCAGTTTGTGTCACTGCCAAAAGGAGCAGTCCCACCTCCCAGCGTGTGTTGCTGCTGTTTTTCCTATGCCAGTACCCATGACTGTACTGGGCTGGGGAGGATCAGGTGCAGAGCATTCACCTACTTGAAAACTGGCTTAACCAAAACCCAAACCGAAAATAGGGTGTTCAGCAAGAACCGTTCTCTGTTCTGCTTGTGCCGATACCGATAAAGAAGAGTATGCAGTATGGATTTTGACTGGCATATGATGATACTGAGCCTCTAGCCCAAGCAGGACTTCAAAAGGTAAAAGGCTTGGGAATATTTTTGGTCAGTGAGGCAGAGCGAGCACTATTAAAAGTGAAAAGCCACTTCATCTGGGAACACTTCTTCACTGGATTTTTTTTGGTACTATAAATGTGCTAAAACTTCTTCCAGACCTGAACCTCCTGCCTACCTCTGGAGGACCTGGGTACCTCCAAAGTACTGGGCAGAAAGCATTCCACCCTCTTAGAGGAGAAACACTTGCAACCAGCAGCAAGGCGTGCAGTTGCTGGCAGGAACTAAGTGTGGATCTGATCTGTGGGCTTTTATTATTTTTTTTTTCTTTTTCCCTGAAAAGAAGTGGTTCAAGAGCTTCCTACCCTGTTGAGAAAGGGTTAAACGACTTCTGACTCGGGTGCATGGGACTGATGGTTTCAGAGTCCAGGAGATGGTGGTGGAAAAGGTCTGACCTGAGGAATGCTATGAGTAGCCAAACTGATTCCTGTGGCGTTTGCCACCTTCCCTGGTGCCTGCCAGGCAGGTGTTGGGGTGGGCTTGTCCTGGACCCTCCATGGTTCACCGAGCTCCTTCTGCCCAAGGGCAGGGTGTAAGAGGAAAGCAACGTGAGAGGAAATGATGAGTTGGTATCGTGGCTAATTACTTCTCCACCTTTTGAATCTGCTCCCTGTTGGGAGGGTGCTGTGGGAGTGCTCCATCTGCACCACCATGGGGAGGATTTTTGGGAGCTGCAGGAGACCAGAGGGAGAGGGCTCTGCCGAGAAACCAGCTGCCTCTGCCAGAGTTCCCAGAGGCCAAGCTGTTAGCTCAAGTGACCTTTTTCAGTGTAATGCATTTCTAATTGATGCTCTTGTGGTGCTCTGAGGACGTCACAGTGTCCCTGGTTTTAAGGCTGCTGGTTGCATATTCATGCACCTGTTCTAGGCCTCAGCAAGTTTTCAGGCTTTCTTTTAATTTACTGCTGCCAAGTTTGACTTTTCAGCATTTTTAAGAATCCTTTTTAACAATTTTGACAGACGATTAAACTGTAAAACTTAATGCTTGACTGAACATGCTGAATAGCATGTTATTTTCCAAAATATTTGAATTCTGAAAAATCAACCTGAGCCCCATAACTTGGCACTACCATTGTATGGGTGCCAGGTGAAGAAAACACAGATATTGTTCTTGGCACGACATGCTCAATGATTACGTTATTTAACAGGACTGTTTCTGGATCGAGGGAATAACGATCCTGAATCGACATGTAGTTGTGGTAATAATGGGAGGGCTGAGGGTTTGGGGGAGGGCTGGGGTCCTCAGCTTGGGGCTGCAGGAGATGGATCTGTAGGAATCAAACTTCCACTGCTCAGGGAGAAACTTTTGCTAATTGTTGCTGTTCTTTTGCAATCCTGTTTCTTTTGATGAAGCCTATTGTCTGGCACGTTCAGGCCTGGACACCATTTCCCAAAGCAACTCAAACTGCCTTTCCAAGATTACTTTTACATCTAGCTTACAAATAGGAGCAATAGGAAAGGCTGACCTGGTTCTTATCCATCTGTTCTTAATAAGCTTAGATTTTCCTTCCAGATGCTTTACTGCAATGTCAGAGGACCCATTAATTGGTGTGCCAGTACTCAACCTGTAAATACTGGGGAAGTGTCTACATATGATATCCCCACCGCTGGAGGAAGCTGTGTCTTTGCCCATTCCCAAAGAGCAGCTTCATTTCACTGTGTGTTCTCTGAATCATTTTTCTTGGGCTGTTTCTTCATCTTTGGTCTCCTTAAATGGTTTTTTTTCAAAATGGTTTTCCCTTTACTCAGTCCAAAGGAGATGTTGGAAGTCACATCAGCCTCTGCTTTCTTTAACACCCTGTACACCCTTTCATTCTTGATTCTTGCAGACTCTTTCTGACTGCATTTTGCAGATAGCCTCTTGTATCTTCCAGTTCATTTTAATTTTGAAAGTTCCCGTAGGTTTATGATTTTTTTACCTACACTCTGTGGCATCCGTCTGGAGCTGTGATCTGTTCTTCTGTCCTGAAGGCCAGCTGACCTTCATTTGGCCTCTCAGCTCAAGCAGATTTTTCTAAGAGTCATCTCCACATCCTTTTCCCTCTTGGATCTTCATACAATCTGACCTCATATTAAAGATTAAACAACCTCTCCCTTCACAGAACTTATTTGACTGAAAGTCCTCACATCCATCGGTACTGTCTTAAAAAATGCTTCCCTTTTTTGGATTTTTTTTTTTTGACTGAGCAACTCAAATTCCTTACTAAAAGAATGGCTGCTCTACATTTCTCACCTCAACTTTGTGACTATCAAAAATACATTTTTCTCATCAGGACCTCCTCCAGCTGCTTCTATTTCTATATAGTCTGAGTAACTCCATGACGTGGCTTTTCTTTTCTTTCTTAGATCAAGCTTTGGATTTGTTTTCTTTTTTTCCCCC